GAGAGTGTAGAATGTAACCCTCCAGATGCAAAAGGATTCTTTTTATCTTAACTTAGTGCCAAAATCTTTTGCAAGCATTGTACTTAAAACAAAACTATAAAGCATAATTATTAAGGACAAAGTAAACAAGTTGCAGAATACCATGTACAATATAAAACCAATACTATAAAAATAAAAAAATAACAAGGCTATAAATTACTTTTAAGTATGTAAATTCATGGACAATGATCTGAAATCAGTGACTACCTCTAGAACCAGTGAAAAAAGGCCCAATATTAAATATAACATCTAATTTTTATAAGAAAATGTTATCCTCCAACTCATACTTCCTCCATTCAGTATACCTAAATCACACATTATTGTGCTTTTATTCAGATGTTCTAGATCCTTCGTCCGCTAGTGCTTATACAAACTTGTTAAATTTATTACACTCTTCACATATTGGCATCCTAGACTGTTAAATTTCTTCCAGGATCAGTGCTTTCTGCCCCATACAAATAACTATCCTTACAATCATCTCTATCTTCTTTGTACTTTACATTTCTTAGTAAGTTCTAGTAGTAAAGACACGCCATATTTCATGTACCCTACCTGTACCACAATATTTACTCTTTTTCCAGAATTATAATAATGCTAAAATGTTACTTTCAATGTTTATAATCCACAACTCAGAAGAGTATTAATGTTTCTTTTAATTAATGATCCCAAAGGAATGAGAAGTTGTGCAATGAAGTGGGGGTTTGGGGGAGGGAACAGCAAGACTGCAAATTTTTCATGCTGGCAACGACTGAAAAATAACAGTCCTCAACCATGATATTAGATTTTTAAATTTGTTTTATTAATTTATTCACAAAGAACAAAGGCAAAATATTTTTTTAATTGTATGTTTTTTAGATGGACCATGAAATGAAAAACAGATGAATAAGATGCAGGTTTTCATTTCTCTTTCTTTCAGGGAAAGCTGAAAAATAAAAGTACAAATATAAGTACCGTTTGTAAAATATCGTGCATTTTCAAATCTTTTCTTTTTATTTTTTTAATTTAAGTTCTTTATTATATAAGCCTCTTTTTCCCCCATTGATCTATCCTTGGACACCCCCATTCCCGTCCCCTACCCCCCATCTATGTCCATTGATTATGCTTATATGTATGTATGCAAGACCTTTGTTTGATCTCTTAATCCCTCACTCTCCCTGACCTTCCCTCATTCAAATCTATTTAAATGTGTCAAATAGCTTAGACTATCTTTCTGCAATTTCCATTTTCACCAATGAAAATAATTCAAGCTTGCCTTCAACCAATGGCAGCTGAATTCTTCTGTTTAGCTAGGGTAGAGGACAGTCCACTAGTTATTGTAAAGTCCTCTCTTAGTCACTGAGGTCATCCTACTCCTCAGGCTTCAGAGTCACAGATGCCATCATCACTCCTCCAAGTTATTCACTAAATATCTATTTCTTACCTTCATAATTACAAATAAACAAGGTGTCTTCTCAAATTACACCTCAAGGAATAAAATCTTACCACTTAGTACTAAAACAAACCATTTTGAAACAACCAAATTTGCCAAGCCAGGAAGTTCTTCCTTGCCTGAATGCACAATATGTAGATACTAGAAGCCTGGTGCAGGTACTCCTGAACCTATGGGGTCCCTCAGGCTGGCCAGCAGGTATTGACCAAGACTAGCTCTCTGACATCACCAGAGGGGTCCCAGATTGCAAGAGGGTGCAGGCCAGGCCAAGGGACCCCACTGGTGTACAATCGGTGCCGGGGAAGGACCGCTGGAGGGCCCATCTTGCCCAGTCCTGATCAACCAGACCCCAGTAGCAAGCTAGCCTACCGGTCAGAGCATCTGCCACCTGGTGGTCAGTGCGCATCATAGTAACTCATAAAACGGTAGGCCAAACAGTCAGACACTTTACATATTAAGCTTTTATTATCTAGGATTATCATTTAGCAAATAGTAAGCTAAAACATAGTGGAATAAGCATCATGGTCAGTTTGAAAAATATTAAAGAAATCCATGCTACAAAATTATTAGACAACTTATTTTAAGAAAGTTTATTCTATTTTTAAATTTTCCCCAAAATATAACAACCAAAATGATTAAAACATGTTAACATGTTTATAGTCAAACACCTAAATTTTAAAGTAGGCTTTTTGATCTAAGAGGAGCAAGTCTATAAAAACTCAGAATGTTGACACACTGGAAACTCAGTAGCAAATTTTTACTATTAAATAGGAGCTCACAGGTCAGC